ACTTCTATCCTGAGCCTCTGAATCTCCGGCATCATAATGCAAGGATGGGGAAAACATCTGGAAAGGATTCATCTCAGATGTGGCCTCTCATGAGACATGCCAATTTGTTCCCATGGCCTGTATCTGTGGAGCAGCCCCAGCTTCTGCCTGCCTGTGCCTGGTTCCTCAGCTGTTCTTTGGATTCTGTGAATCACTCACATTCTTCAAATGCATTCTCTTTGTTTAAGCCAGGCAGCATCAATTCCTGTCACTTGCAACCCAAGGCCCCTACCTAGCACACTGGGGAACTGAACCAGGCCAGTGGGTGGCTGTCCTCATTCCTTCCTTTATAAAAACAAGGTGCAGCTGCTCCTTAAGCCACTGTGCACATGCCCAGAAATATCCTGCCTTAATGGCAACGTCAGAAATGAATTGATGCTTGGTATAGTATATACGTAATGAGTCACAGGCCTTATTCTTCAAATCAAAGTTTAACTATGCAGAGAGGAGAAAACTGCCAGGCCCACATTCTGAAGTAGCCCACCATCTTAGTCAGTTGGGGCACTATAGCAAAGTGCCATAGATTGGGTGACTTATAAGCAACAGGAATTTATTTCTCACAGTTCTGGAGGCTGGAAGTCCAAGGTCAGAGTGCCAGTACAGTTGGGTTCTGGTGAGGACCCTCTTTCAGGTGTGCAGATGTCATCTTCTTGTACCCCCAAATAGCAGAAAGCAGAGAGAAGCAAGCTCCTTCAGGATTCTTACAAGGGCACTTATTCCATTCATGAGGGCTCCATCCTCAGGATCTAATTACCTCTCAAAGACCCCACCTCCCAATACCATCACCTTAGGTGTTAGGATTTTTCATTTTTTGGGGGGATTGAACCCTGGACCTTGATGTTCAACCAGCATCACACTCTAACCAATTTAGCTAACTGGCCAGGCATTAGGATTTTAACACATGAATTTTGGGAAGACACAAAAATTCAATCTATAGCACCCATCAAGCTATAAGGGGTTGAAAGTCGGTAGAGGTGCAGGGATGACATCAGCGTCTAGGCATGTGATAGACAGGATAGTATTTCACAACTTTTCAGTGACTTGGGGCAGGGCATGCCACCTCCTGTGGCATAGTTCCATCACTGCCAATTGGATGAGACACACCTCCCTTCACTTATTTATATGCCTGCACCTGACTTACAGTGGAAACACCATATTATATTGCCTTTCCCACCCCTTTGTATTGCTGCCTCATTCTACATAACAGCAAGCAGGAAAAAGCACAAGAATGCACACACTCACCTGTCTGCCACACTTTTTTTGCTCTCCTGCAGCTGGAGTAGAGCAGCCAAACTTTCAAATCATACATGTGCCATTCAAGGAAAGAAATGTCTTTCCCAGAGAGAGTGCAAATAACTGAAAGGCTCCTTTAACTCATTCAGATAGTGATGTGGAAATGTCAATACCCAGGAAATGTTGAGGTGAGCCAAGTAGCTGCCTCCTATAAGTTTAGAACCAATGTGTGTGTCAAATTTCAAAAGAAAGTTGGCAATATCCTGCCACTCCAATCTCAGTGCGAGACATGGCCTCTTCTCTACTTCACCTCTCAAAATCCTAGCTCTCTACTTTATGTACACCAGTCATGCCCTCATGACTTCTGCTACAAGGAATTAGGATTGATGCACAGGGACACCACCAAAGGGCTTCCACTCCCTTCTCTTTTTGGTGTGGTACTTTTTGCAGCTATTTAACTGGCCTATGCACAAGTCACTAGTGCTAGCTCTATGTGCAGACTGCACAGACAACAGAAAGAAAATGAACTTTGGAGTCAGACCCCCTTGGTACAGATCCCTGCTCTACCAGAGACTAATCCCCTTGAGGGAGTCCTCTAGCCGGTCGAAACCTCAAGGGCTACGTGAAGATTAAAGGCCCAGACATGCAACATGAAAAACCCAGCTTGGTTTGTCGTACATTGTGTATGAAGTGTCCATTGGCACATCACGTGACGTACAGTCAACCCTGGAGATAGCTCTGCACTGACAGTTGGTCAAATGACCAATGTCTGCTCACTGCCCCTCATTACCCTCCTTCCCACATGAAATTTACATCATTAAAGTTGGTTCTCTGCATTTAAAAAGTTTGCCTCTAGAAAGATCACCTTTAAAATAAAATACTAGTTTGGAAGGAAAGGAGAAGAGCTCTGTAGAATCTCTCCCCTCCCCTCTCCCATCTCAGTCACTCAGTAATGCCATGGTAATGGGGTGGGAAGCCCTCAAGACTCTCTCCCTCTTCTTCTTCCCTGTCTTCTTTCCATTGCCCATAGGGGACCTCAACCCTACCTATGCCTTCAATTACCACCTAAAGATTAATGACACTCAAGTTTCTTTCTCCAGCTCAGGCAGCTCCTTTGAGCTCCAGACCCTCAGACCTAACCACTTATTTGAAAATTTCCCCTGGACGCTCCATAGGTACCCCAAACTCCCCTACTTCCCTCCCTCACCCCCAGTCTGGTTCTTCTCCAGAGTTTCCAGACTCAGGGAATGGTTCTGCCCTCCATTCAACTCAGCAAGCCAGAAAGCTTGGAGCCATGCTTGACACCTCCTGGTCCCTGTAGCCAGCTCCTCACCAAACCCTGCTAATTTCTCATCCTAAGTCCCTCTCAGGTCCTTCCATTATCTCCCCTTCCACTGCCATGTCTCTCACTTCAACCACTATAATCTCACCCTTGGAAGACCACCCTAGTTCCTGGCCCTCCTCCACCCCATCCAGTCCATTTTCCAACACAACCAATGGATCTTCTAAAATGCAAATCTTATCATATGATCTACAGCTTAAAACCCTTGAATGGCTTCTCATTGCTTCTAAGATAATGACCAAAATCCTGAACAAGGACTGTGTAGCCCTGCAGGGAATAGCCCCTGCCTAGCCCTCCAATCCATCTTAGGCTACTGCTCCCCACCCAGCCCCAACCCTGGCTTTCCTGTTCCCACCCCTCAAGGCCATTGTAAACATGGTTCCCTCTACCCGCACCCCCACCTGCACCTCACACTTCCTATTTCACCCAGCCAACTGCTCTGTTTCTCTCAGATCTTATTCTCTATGTTGCTTATTCAAGGAAGCCTTCACTTGCTTCTCTGTCAAGGTCAGGGTCCCTGTTGTAATAACTCTTAGCACCTTGTACTTTCCCTTCTTGGTATGCAGCACAGACTACCAACACACGTTTATTGACAGGGACTGGAGTCTACCTCCTACGTCAGATGGTAAGTGCATGGAGGGCAAAGACCACATCTAACTGGCCAACTTCTAATCTCCAGCACCTGCATTAAACACATGTTTATTGAACATACATTTATTGAAGGTCTACTATGTGCCAGAAACCACACATTAGTTTTCCTAAATTACATAAACTCAGGGCTTATGTAGGATCTCACCCAAGAGGGCACAGAAAGCAGTGAATTTCTGAGTAGATTTGCAAGGTAGATGAAGTGGGACAAACAGTTAAAGTGATGCCAAATGAAGAGACCGAGAGCAGGGTAGAGCACCCAGGAGCTGCTAGGCTTGAGTTTGACTCAGGCAAACGAGGCAGCAGGCAGATCCCAGAGGGCAGTGGTTGATGAAGGATGGAGAATTGGAAGGTTAGAGCTTGGCAAGAGATGGGAAAGGATGGAAAATAACAAGGTTAATTATCCATTCCACGATGTTCTTAAGGCCAGTCCCCCCAGCCCCCAACCCTTTACCAAAAGGTTTATTGAATGTCCTGGTCTCCCAGCAGAGAACTGACCCAAGAGGATTCCAGAAATAGAACAAAACTTCATATGGCCCCTCCCCACTCTCCTATTCCTGCCAAATTGCAAGGAATCATCCATCAGCCCCAGGTGCTGAATTATTCAATTATTCCAGCAGCTTTCAAAACACGTGTGCAGCTAGAAAACACTCTAAGAAGAAAAGAATCACATTATTTAGGCTACTAGGTCATCTTTTGAACCTCTCTTGAATTCTCCTTTGCCACGTAATTGTTTTTCAATTAAACAGTAGCTCATTGACACCTCACCCTTACTACCAAACGCAGCGGCAAACATAATCACAAGACAATCTGCTGCTCGCACTGCAGTTACAAACAGGCAGTGTTACCTCCTGATCCTGCACAACAGCCCCAGGCTCCTCTGCTTACCCAAAGCTGAGGGCTGCTGCTGTACCTGAAATAAATACTGAACAAAGCAGCAGAGGATCTGAAAAACAACTTCCAGCTATCCACCATCCCCCTACACACACACACCAACCTGCCTTACTTCAGTGGGGGGAAAAAAAAAAGATGTCTACCTTCTAACCTCCGTCACAGTACTAAAATCACTAAAATAATCTGTCTGCATTTGGATCTGGAAACCCCTCTCAACGCCTCACCCACAACCCACCCACCCACTGCACGTCAGCTCTCTGAGATATTTTCTCCCAGGAGAATAAGCCAAAGAGAATGTTTTGGGAAAAAAGGAAAACTAGTCACGAAACAAGCCTTTAAGACTCCATTTTAGCACAGGGCTTCTTCAGGAGCCCTCTATTTCTGGCTCCTGAAGAAGCAGAGCATGAAGATGAGTTAGGCAAAAAAACCCGCAAGTATTTGCCAGAGGTGACCTTTAACCCAAATCAATTCTAAAACTCAATAGGAAGGAATGACATTTTTCATTTAGTCAAAAGCAATCTTAGCCACAAAGTCTCTGGCACTGCCCTCTAAACCTCAAATAGGGCTACCAGAGAGTGAATGACAGTAACAGCTAGAAGGCATCTCATTGGAAACAGATGAAGGCAACCTTGCAAATAGTCACTGGCCCGCACTAACAATGTGCCAGACAAGTGATGGGGTGCGGTGGGGAACCATGCCAGAGAATAGGAAAACATCTACTTACGCACGCAGGTTGTTGCAGGCAGGACTAAGCTCCACAACCATCCCCTTTCCCAGGTGTCTCCTGGGATGCCAACAGTCCCGGGAAAGAGAAAGCACATGCTTGTGCCACATTCTGCCTTACCGTTCCTCCATCTGTTTAGCTCCATCTCCAGATGCTGGATAACATTCTTCAAAGTTTTGTTTTTCTCCTTCTCTTTCTCATATTTCTTCTTCCATTCTTCCGCTGTCAGTTCCAGGTTCACAGAGACTGTATTCTTGATGGTCTTAGCTCTGAGGTTAAAAACATCAGGGAAAAACTCTGAGTATAGCTATTAGCATTAGCTGGATCAATATAATTTCAGCCTCGGATTCCTTCCATGTCAAAACATTGGGTCTGGGGGAGCAGAAGAGATCCTGTGTCTTTCTCCTACCACACTCCCAGCTGGGACAATGGCACCACTACTCCTTGAGCTCCAAACTCATCCTTTCACCCTTCACACCCCACCAGTCTCTAAATCCAATGGACAGATATTGAAATTGTCTCTAAGGGGTCACCTCTTTCTCTGTTCCCTCTGTCACCTTAGTCTATGTTCTCAGCCCTCCTTATGGTGATAGCCTTTTTCAAACGTTCAGCATCCTCCTTTAAGCATTCTGTGTACCGCTGCCAGGTTCATCTTCCTAAGCAGAGTTTCCTTCCAATTCAATAAAAATGTATGAAACATTGGGGATATACCAGGACAAATGGACAAGGTTACTGGCCTCTTGGAGCTTGGGGTTTCTTATACCAATAATACGCAGTCAGAAACAATGTAATGAATTATTTCTCTTACACAGGGTACCTAGAACCACCCCTGATGTGTGGAACACACATCAACACACGGCTCATAGGTCAGGGGGTGACACCTGCTGAGCACATGCCCCATCACAGTCAATCATCACCATGCAAGAGAGGAGGACCTACTGTTCTCAGATCATTCCATTTTCAAGTCCGAAATTGGGATTTTTTAAATTTATATCTCCCAGTTTAAAATAATTTTTAAAAATAATGTGTGGTGCAAACAAACATGTCTAATGGCCACCATTTTGCCACTCATAGTGTAAAAGATGATGGGATCTCCTAGGGGCTAGGGCCTGGGGCCAGGGGGATTGTGATGCCACATGGATGGGAGCTGGACAGTAACTGGAGGGAGCAACTGATGAGAGCGAATCAGCTGCTGCACTAGGTGATGCTAAAAACAAAAGACACGATTCACCTAGGCATGCACAGAAACAAACACTTATGCAGCCTTGTCCGATTAAAAAGTAAACTGATTATGGCAGAATTCCACTTATTACTTACTTTTTAAGAAGGTAAAACTTCATTTAAAAATATGTGATATCCTGTTTTATTTGCTATTGACTTTTTTTACATTAAACACCAAACAGTTCTTGTACTGTTATATTTGCCAGAGCAATCCGATGTATGATTCAGGTTCATTACTGTTGTCATCAAATGACATTCTGGGCGTGATTTCTATTTTAGTGCAGGAAAAACAGCAGTCCTCACCAGCACTATAGATGTCATTCTAAAAATTCCAAAAAATAATTCCTAAAGCAGACAAGTAAATAACCCAACTGCTGAAAGAGGAGTTAAACGACTTCAATGTAAGACTCTACGTAAGAATTAGTATAATTCTCTCTCATTGGCTGTAGCTTGAGGCTGCTGTTCCTAGAAGGGCTTCAACTCTAATTTTTCAAATAGCAGCAATTTCATGACTGCTTTAAGGTCTGTTCCAGTTTGACACTCTCACCTCACCTTCTCACATCCTCAGGCAGTGCTGCAGATGCTTCTCAGATACAAGCACAAACACTGAAGCATCTATTATCAACTTAAGTCAGAAAGTGAAAAATAACTCATGACTAAAATGCCTATGGACATTTAAGGGTATACTTTGTGGCTGCTAATCTTACTTTTTAAATCGTAAAGAGTCCCTTGATGATTTCAAACGATACCAGAAAAAGAAAGAGCCTCTGTGCTATACTCAGGCTTGTTTAGCCAGAGGCACATTTTGTGAGCAGAACCAGCAAGGTTATCGACAGCAAGACTGGTCCTCAGTCTCAAAGTCTCTTAAAAGCTGTCCAGAAAATTCTTTTTCTTCCACTTCTGTAGTAATCCAAAACCTGGCAGGAAACAGATGACCTGCTCAAACTGCATAATTTGGAGAGAGTTTAACAAAGGTGTGGAAAGGATGCTGAGAAATAACAAGGAATAATGTGGTACCCATATTAGTGATAGGGGGAGCCATTACTACCCTTAGGCTGAAGGGGGCCCAGAGGGAAAGAGCTAGAAGAGAAAGGTTGCCTCATGGGAACTGTAACAGCCTTTGGTCTAAGGACACAGCCAACCCAAAATGATCATGCAGGGAGGAAGCCACGAAATAAATATCCTGACCTCAATCTCTTCTCTCCTTCCAATCACCTGCTGCAGTTCCTTCCCCATTGGTCACACCTAACTGGAAGCAGAGGCAAGAGAGACCATTGCAGTAGTCCAAACAGGTTACCCTCCCAGGGCACAGAGCAGGGCACAGACAGTACACAAAAGATCCAGATGAGTAGACAGAAGATGTGGAACCCAACTCCAATTTGGAACTCAAACAACAGTGGGGAACCAGGTCTCACTCTGGAAACCTGGACTTCATTTGGCCCCAAATCGGGTGGTGGGGGTAGGATGCCTCTACATCCACTAAGGGTAGACTATGAAGAAATCAGCCAACACCGATAGAAAGAGATGTTAAGTCTCCCAAAATTTTCTATGGATTTAAAATAACTCCCCCCCAAAAATCCTAGGAGTTGTGTATGTATGTGCATATAGAAATCGGCAAGCTGATTCTAAAATTTATAGTAGAAATAAAAAGGCCAAGAAGAGCAAGGACAATTTTGGAGATCAAAGTTAGAGGACTGAATATCAATACTTACAAAGGCATAGTAATTAAAACTGATTAAATAATCCTAAACCTTGGAATACAAACAGAATGGATTATCCAGAAACAGACACTCAGATATACAGTTATCTGATTTATGGCAATGGTGCCCATACAGTACAGTGAGAAAGGACAGTCCTTTCAATATATGGTACTAGTGGGAAGGGAATTTTATCCCCCCCCATACATATAAAAATTCTATTCTAGATGGATTATAGACACAAATGAGAAAGGTAAAACAATAAAACTTCTAGAAGAAAACATAGGAAAGTATTTTCAAGACCTTGGGATAGGCAATGAGTTCTTAAATAGGACATAAAAAATAAACAGATTTGACTTCATTAAAATTTAAAACCTCTCTTCATTAAAAGCCACCATTAAGGGAGTTAAAAAGCAAGTCATAAAGTGGTAGAAGATATATGAAATGCATATACTAACAACATGCTTACCCAGAATCACTCCTATAAATCAATAAGAAAAACTGGGCAAAGACTTGAACAGGCACTTCATAAAAGAAGTACCAATAAAACACCCCAGAAAAGGTGTTAAACATCATTAACCATCAGGGGAATGCAAATCAAAACTACAATGAGATACCTTTACACACCCAATAGAATGGCTACAAATTTTAAAACTGATAATGCCAACTGTTGGTGAGGAAGACACTCACTCGATTGCTACTGGAGAGAGTGTAAATAATTACTATCATTTTGGAAAGTGTTTGGCAGTATCTACTAAAGCTGAATATCTCACACCCTATAACCCAGCAATTCCACTCTTACCGAATAGAAATAAGGACATGTATTTGTCCAAAGGTATGACAAGCAATGTCACAGTAACTTTATTTATAATAGCCACCAATTGAAAACAATCCAAATACCTACCAACAGTAAAATGGATACATACATGCTATATTCATACAATAGAATAGACATAACAATGAAAAACTACTACTACACCCAACAATGTAGATAAATTTCACAGATACAATGTCACATAAAAAAAGCCAGATACAAAACAGTACTGTGTGATTTCATTTATATAAAGGTCAAAAACAGGCAATAATAATCTATGTTGATGGAAGTCATAATGACAATTACCCTTGAGAGTTGGGTATTGACTCACAGGGTGCGAGAGAGAGGCTTCCAAAACACTGGGTGGTGGTTATTGTGTATATATGCTTGTAAAAGTATGAGTTATACACTTAAGTTTCTGCATTTTACTATATGTATGTTATATTCAATAAAAATGAGTTAAGAAAAATAAACTGATGTAGAAAGAAATCAAGTCAGATACAAAAATTCCCAGATCGTGGGAAAAATTAGGATTACTAAGAGAAATACTGGATTTCTACATGCCTGGAAGATTTTATTTGTTTATTTTCTTAATAGAATAAATATCCCCCTATCTAGGAGAATAACAATCTTGCAAAATAGAATAAAAAGGGTCTCAGTCCCTCATTCTCCAAAGAAATCTAAAGTAAAAGGATGCAGAGTATCTACAATCTCCTTTTCCTCTTACCATGAACTTTAGCAAATTTAGAGGATAAAGGAGCTTAATGATATTAGTTTCTAACTAATTTTGCCACTCAAAGTTTACTTTCCCCGTTCGTGAGTATTTAGCTAGTTGCCATCAGTGTAGGTTACATAATGGTCTGGTCTTGAACACTTCACAGCATGCCAAAAAACCTTGCATATTTTTGGCTCCTTTACTTTGGTATTTTCCACATATTTGCTAGCTGTAATCACACTAAACAGCACTATATCCAGACTCTCAAATTCAGTGAATCAACACAGATCCTGGGCATAAGGCTGCATGTGAACATGATTTGGGAGCTTATGCAAACTACCATGCATGTGCATTTACTGCTCAGCTTTATTTCCAAAAAACTTCAGGTAGCTTATAAGAAAACATAAAATCAATAAGATAGCAGAAATTCAGAAATGCTCTTAAGGCAGGTTTCAGAATTTTGTCTAGCTGAAGCTATAGAAATAGCAATACCATACTGCTTTAAAGCTCTGGAACATTATCTCTTTGATAAAGGAAAATAAGCCAATGACCCACGGGAGCCTTATTTTAGCTCCTCACTGTTCACTCATCATCTTTATGGGTCAAACTGACAGTGATACATTTTGATTAATCCAAAGTGACCTGATCATTCATAAAGGAGCACAAAAGCGTCCTGGGTCTTCATATCTAAAATCCTCAGGTTTTTCCAGGACAGCCCCCCGCACGTGTACACATATAAATCCCTATTCCACACGTTATAACCATAGCAGGTACTGAGCAAAATCCTAACCAAAGGCTGCTTAGGGAAAGCATCTTAATTCA